GGTCCTTTCCAACCTTGGTGATTCTGTGAACCATCAGTGGAATGCTCAGAAAGTGTTATTCTAGGGCTATAGGGAAAATTCGAGGAATACCTATTCTGAAACATGTCAATTATTTCATTTTATCCTTTCCAAATCATTCTATTGATTCAATCTCCCTTGAGATTTTCTGACTAATTACTGAATAAAGGATAATAAAGAAATATGCTACATGCATAGAGGAAATTCTGCTGAATTCTCCTAATCAAGGACCTAGCCATTTCCAGTGAACACAATTCATTAAGAAAGTGCACCATATTTTTAGGGAAGTAAACACTTCTTATTTGCTGTTATGACTACTGACTTCTATAATGTTCAAAAATTATTTTGGACACTTAACAACATTTTAACATTGATGTTTCAGCTCCTATCTTTGAAATTTTTTAATGTTTTTAATGACCTCTCAGAAGGACAGGACACATATTAGAAGGAAAAGTCTATTAGTATTACTGAAAAGTGTGCCAAACACTCAACAGTACTAGAGTTGACAATACTATAACACAGATAAGGGTTTATACTAAACAAAATTGCCTGTCTACCTGTAGAAATTCTTTCAAAGTGGAGAAGAAATTTACTTCAGAGTGGCAAAAAACTGCTGATAGCCTATTATCAACCCTGAGAAAAGCAGCATGACCCCTGAGTGCCCCAAATCCATCTTGGTGGCTCAAAACCAAATTTTAGATACTAAATGAGGAAGGTAACATGGTCAATGACTATGAGAAATAGTGCCAGTCTTTTCCCAAAGGAAGATAATCAGTTCTTATTGCTTCTATTCATTCCCCCTTCCATTATCTCTTACAGTCATACAGATGGCACAATCAAATCAACTTGAACCGGGTCAGCTCGTCCTCTTTTGCATCTATTCATGTTGGTCTTAAAAGCATCTGTCTCTCTGACATCCAGCAAAACATCTGCCAAAAGTTCTACAAAACCAAATAGAGATGCCAAAAATGCATATAAATAGCAGCTTGCTCCCGTGTGGTCACATCATCTTGTTTTTAAATTCCTGTGCCCAAAGGCACGTGTATTTTCTTCTCAGTGAAAACAATCTGATAAATTGGTGACACATTTCACCTAAAATCATTTTTACTGAAGTAAATTTGAAGACATAAAGCACTCAGAGAATGCATACAGCTGCATGTATTGCATAAACAATCAGATTTCTGGAAGAACTGAGAAAACATATCATGCACTCTCTAAAAATCTCTTTAGCTGGACATTAATGGATGACTTTAGAAAGAAAAAAGGCTGGGGGATGCAGAAAGAATAACTGCATGAAAAAAATATTCTCAAAACTATTCATAATTATGGGGAGAAAAAAGCCCCCCCTCACAAAAAACCAAACCAAACCAAAACCGAAGAAAACCAATAAGAGACATTAGCTCACAGAGGACAATGAGGACCATGCAAACACCAGAACATTTTGTGCATGGAAGAGCTGTACTGGCTGAACAGGAGCAAGAAACACATGATCAGCAATCAGTAAACGACAGGTAGCGTTTGAGAATAATGTGGTGGCAACATCACAGTTGCTCTGTCAGGAATCCCAGTTTTCTCACAACATTTCTGGGGTGCACATTTTCCTTCATGTCCCCAAGCCAACTTGCCTCTAGTAGAACAGCATTTAAAAGCTTGCTGCCACAGCAAATGCTACCAAAAGCAGAGGGACGGCTGGTTAGGGATTCATTTCCAATTGGTGCCATTTGTCACACCTCCAAACTTATTACCCTTGATTTAATCAGGCAACTGCATTGCTGGGAACACTTAAGCAATAAATTTACAGTGACTCTCAGGGCAACTGAAAACTCTGATTTGTGCTAACTGGTTTTTTGTTTTATTTTTTATAATCAACCTTTACTCTTTTTTTTCTACTTCATATTTGGAAACCTTTAGTTTTGTCTTATAGGACTCGGTTTCACCATGCTGACAAGCATATCACAACACCATGCAGGAGATGCCAATATACTATCTGGCTCCCCAGTTCTTAGCCCAACAGAAACCAGGAGTCTTCTAGCATCAGGGCTTGTCAGGTCTTACAGAAAGCAGTGACTCGCAGTTTTGCACTGGTTCATGGCTGATGGGAAATGGGGGAAGGGAATAAAAAAAAAAACCTCCCAAACCGCACAGGTCCAATCCTTGTATACGCCTTAACTCAATAAAGCTCTGCATCACTTACTTGAAGTTACACACGTGCTTCAGCGCCCTGGTGAACCTGGGCCAAAGTAATGATTACAATTCAACGGAGGGATATATTTGAACAACCATGAGACCCTATGAGGTCCTAAGAGGAAAGCATCAAATACGGCCATTGAGTCTGTACTCATAGCTGAAGCAAGAAATAACAGTCATGGACTGACACAAAGGATCACTACTGTACAGCAGAATGTGCTTCCATTTCCAGAAGGGACAAATGCAAATCCAGAATAGAGCTAAGAAGCAGAAGAGTGACTCTAGCTTCACTCTCATCCCAAATAGCATCATCTTGGCTCTTCTGCAGGAGGGCAGATTCAACCCTCCCCTCTCTTACCCAGAAGGTTCTTTGCTTCACACAGGTAACACAGGTTTTACTTGAGGTTAGGCTACTAAAAAAACCAAAAAGACACTTTCTACATCCAGTATTATGGGACAGTTTCAGTTCCTGCAAAGCACAAAGCACAAGTTCTCAAAGCTTCTCTGTGAATAATATTACCTCAGGCCCATCCTTCTAGTTTTACATTGCTGGTTTTGCTCATCACTTAGTACATTCTGTACCTTTTAACATAAATTTAAAGAATACATTAAATACTTTAAATTCAATTAAAAGAGAATATTTTTCCATTCCCAATGATTCAGCCGCTAAAGGGTGTAAATTGTACAAATACACAGGAAGGGCAGTAAAAGAGAAGTTTAAAAAAAAAGAAGTACATAATTCAAGTTGTGCTGCTGCTGGTGATGTTGTACACTGGTAGAACCACTGGTGTTGGGAAAGACTCAATACAGCTGACCAACATCATATGCTATTGTAACAACGAAACAAATTGGTTACCTGAAGGAAAGAAACAATATAGTTACTGCAATCAAAGCAACAACAAAAATGGATATATTACCTGATATCAGAAAGATCACATTTGTTTCCAGCGATGGCCATTACAATGTTTTCAGGACCATGTTCTTTTAGTTCTTTCACCCATTTCTTCAAAGTATGAAATGAATCCTAAGTCAGAGAAATAACAAATAAGCTAACAGCTTAGTCTCACTTGATGTATTTGCCAATTTTTTTAAGTTAGAGGAACACAGCTTTGACAGTATTAATGCAGTAACAACTTCACAAGACTAGAAGAAGATCGCTGTATCTATGTAATCTGCTTTTCAAACTTTAGGTCATAAGATTTCCTCAAATCAATTCTTGAGCTTGGACATTTCCCACCTTGCCCCTCCGCCCCCAGCAGCACCCAATGTTTTTCTTAAATTTTCAGGGATGAAGAAACTACCACAGTTTGGTAGTTTAAGTTTGGCTAGTAACTAATTTCCTTCACTTTTAATGTGAGCTTCATTTGTCTAATTTAAACTTCTGCCCAGTGGATTACCATCTCAGCCACTGTCATATTTTTGGTAAACATCCAGGAGAACTTTCACAGGGAGCCCCTGCCCTCCACATTTGCAAATCTGTGACCTGGTAAACCTCATTTTACTCATTATGAAACCAAATGAATGGAAAGACAGTTCACTTGGCTTTTTCCTTCCAAGTACAAAAGTCAAACACTTTTTAATGCTACCTACCTTTTAGTAGCAAATTCTCCGTTTCTTTACACTAATGAACTAATAGCATTAAAATCACTTTTGTTCCTAGAGATTCTAATTACAATGCATAGTTGAAATTATTACTGAAACTCCGAGTGAGCTCCCAAATATATTATAAATAATTTTTCCTTTTCAGTAATGCATATAAGAGTTGTGTCTAAATCAGCAACAGCTGTATCAGTATCACTGAAAGGAGAGCACTATCAGTCATTTGGGAAAAAACATCCATTCTGTTCTAATGATCAACGCTGAATATTAAGCATCAGAAAGTGAAATACACATTGACCTTCCTCTCCTACTTTCCCCTCTTTATTCTGAGAGCTGTTCCACATAAGCTTGGAGAAAAGCTGGCAAAAAAAAAAAATCTGTTCTTACAACACATTATAAGATCAACCGCAAGACATTTAAATTAAAAATAGGTATCAATCCAGCACGATTCACTCTTTCTCATCTTTTCTTGGCAAATTAGCAAAGGAGAACAGTACCACTGTGCAACCGTGGCCACCATCATCAGCCACAGATCATTACACTAATGCACTGGAGAACCAACCCAGCCCTCTCAACCTAGTAGTAAATAATTCAGTTGGCAGGAAAGGAATAAAATGCTAGTGAACTGTCATGACCATCCATCCATTAACGCCTCCTCTAACTCAGCTTTATCAGCAGGGGGTTCTTTCAAAAGCAGTGGAAGAGGTGTTCAGCTAGAACCTCCTAGCCTCCTCTGCCTGAGAAAGGAGCAAAAGCAATTTAGGATCTGAAAATACAATTTTCACTCCGAATGAATAACATTGAGACAAAGGTCAGAGACTTCTTATTTCATTACTGGTTTCAAAGTTAAGACATGAGTCCCACAATGCAAACATGAGATGATATGCTTAGTTAAAAAGAATTAATTTTAAAATCAGTAATATGCAACCACCTGAATTTCTGTTCAGTTGATAAAGCAGCCAGCTGCTTTTTGTGGTAAAAATTCAATTCCATACAGAGAACATGGTGGTGCTGGGAGGTATTGCAGGATATTATCCTGTCTACTTAGCCAGAGGAAATCCAAAGAAACTTTGGCAAAATGCAGTCTCCAACATTTTGTCTAGAGGAAGTTTAAGCAACACAGAAACAGGACCTAATATTTAATTTTTTTAAGGCAGTTGGACACCTCCATCCAAACCTACAAAAACTACCGAAGCATATAAATCCCACTGACAGGAACAGGGATTAACATATAAATACTTCTGCAGTTGTGGGGTTTAACTCCAACTCTGGCCCAAGCAGACGAGTTAACACAGGCAAAAAGCATACAGAAGGTCTTACCTGTTTGGTGATATCATAAACTATCCCGGCTGCTGCTTAACCTCGGTAGTACATTGGAGCCAAGGAATGAAACTGTTAAAACATAACCCCCAACCAAAAATATCATTAATCAATCAGAATTATCACACAATTTGTCAGGTCACAAAGACTTGCCATGGCAAGACCACTGACTTTTCTTTCACCCCACAGAGGACAGACCTCTTCAATGGTTGCCCACCTCTAACTTTCCTCCAATGCCAAGGAAGCAGAGCTCCCTTATCTCCTGCTGTTCTTCACCCTGCTGGATTCCTGCAAAATCAGCACTTACTGGTTCAATGCAACTTCTCCATTACAGGGTATGGACTCTGAGGACAAGTTCTGACGTGAAGATCACCTGGACTTAGAGGCCTAACCTGACAGCATATAGACCCCCTCCGCAACATTTTCCTTTGTAGTTCTAACAGACTGGGTTCAGCTTGGGTTTGAGTTTTATAAAACAGAGCAAATGACAGATAAAATTAACTTGTCAGAAAACTCTGAATACCTGTCACGTTTACTTATCCTATACTATGACAGATATTTTGAAAAACATGGGTTCTTGCAGTTTAAGTTATTCTTCAGCTTTTTGTTTCAAGGCAAACATCCTTTAAGAAAAAAACCAAGCAATAAACACGTTTATTATAACAACAGCTTGCCAACAAACAGCATAATTTACCATGACTAAGCAGCTGATTTAGAATTACAGCTTATAATTACACAGAGAAAGGCAGTCAAAAAGCCCTTCTGCTGATTCAACTAAAACTAGTCTTAAGCAAAACGAAAATAATCTTTCTTGGAAAATACATTCAGTCTCACTGTACTCATACAGACATTCTACAAATTTTTACTCGCAAAGTGATCTGCAAAAGCTTCATATAAAGCTGCAGCTAATAACTCCCTAAATCAAACGCATTATTAGGGCAGGGTATGAATCTCACTGCCCGGTGAACATGCACAGATCTATGTGTTACGTGGCAAACCTCTGCAGATTTACTGGACACATCTTTTTCTCAGAACTGTACTTACAGCCTGAGCATTTAGACCCAGCAGCCTGCACATTTCTTGCTGTTTCACGTGCAATCTATAAAGCGAGTTACTTGCGACAGTGGTTCATTTACCAGTTTGTAAGCTATTTATCACAGATCACACGCTCCAGCTCAAGGTCGATACTTCCTCTTATAACAGTAAGGATGCGCAGCAGCAGTGACAGATGGTCAAGTGTTGAAGTGTTTTGGGGAGCGAGGCAGGTGGGAGAGCTCATTAATAGGAGAAAACAGCAGGAAGGAGGATGAGAAAAGAAAGAAGAATCAGTCAAGAAGTGTGGTCTGAAGAAAAGGGATCAGCCAAGATCCTGAGGGAGTTGGGTAGATGTGTCTTCCGGGCTTTTAGTGTGTGGCTTTATTACTTGCATATTTAATGCAATAAACGCCTTCCAGAATTTTCAGGCTCCCAGATCATGACAGAAATTTCCACTGTGTTAGAATAGGCTAGACTATTTCGGTCAGAAGGGACTTACAACAATCATCTAGTACAACTGCCTGACCAATTCAGGGCTGACCAAAAGCTCAAGCAAATTATTAAGGGCTTTGTCCAAACGCCTCTTAAACACTGACAGGCTTGGGGCATCGACCACCTCTCTAGGAAGCCTCTTCCAGTGTCTGACCACCCTCTCGGTGAAGAAATGCTTCCTAATGTCCAGCCAAAACTTCCCCTGATGGACACAGCTCTGAACCATTCCCACATGTCCTATCGCTGGATCCCAGGGAGAAGAGATCAGCACCTCCCTCTCCATGTCCCCTCCTCAGGAAGTTGAGGAGAGCAGTGACATCGCCCCTCAGCCTCTGTTTCTCCAAAGCAGACAAGCCCAAAGTCCTTAGCTGCTCCTCACAGGACATTCCTTCCGGCCATTTCACCAGCTTTGTTGCCCTCCTCTGGATGCATTCAAGGACCTTTACATCCTTCTTAAATGGTGAGGCCCAGCACTGCACGCAGTACTCAAGGTGAGGCCACACCAATGCTGAACACAGCGGAATAATCACCTCTCTTGACCAGCTGGCTACGCTGTGTTTGATGCACCCCAGGATGGGGTTTGCCCTCTTGGCTGCCGGGGCACACTGCTGACTCCTGCTGAGCCTGCTGCCAACCAGCACCCCCAGATCCCTTTCTGCTGGGCTGCTCTCCAGCCATTCCTCTCTCCATTTATACTTGTGCCTGGTGTTACTCTGTCCTAGGCGCAGAATCTGGCATTTTTGACTTGTTAAATTTCATTCCATTAATTATTGCCCAATGCTCCAATCTATCTAGATCACTCTGCAAGGCTTCCTGTCCCTCAAGAGAGCCAACAGGAACTCCCCATTTGGTATCATCAGCAAACTTGCTAATGGTGCATTCAACTCTTGCATTCAGATCATTGATAAATATATTAAACAGGACTAGCCCTAGAACTGAACCCTGAGGAACACTGCTGGTGACTGGTCACCAGCCAGATGTAGCCCCATTCACTACAACCCTTTGAGCTCTGCCCTTCAGCTTGTTCTTCACTCGGCGTGAAGAATGCTCATCCCACAGTTGGACAACTTGTGCAGAAGGATGCTGTGAGGGACAGTATCAAAAGCCTTACTAAAATGAAGAAAAACTACATCCATCACCTTCCCTTCATCCACTAGGCAGGTGATCTTACCATAGGATATCAAGTTAGTTAAACAGGACTTTCCCTTTGTGAACCCATGTTGACTGTGCCTGATGATTGCATTTATTCTTTAAATGCCTGTCAATAGTGCCCAGTATAATCTTCTCCACAATTTTTCCAGCAACTAAGGTTAGACTAGCAGGTCTGTAGTTCCCTTGGTTTTCTCTCACGCCCTTCTTGTAAATGGAGTAACACTGGCTAGCTTCCAGTCAGCAGGGACCTCCCCAGTCTCCCAAGACCTTTGGTAGGTGATAGAGAGGGGTCCTGCCACAACATCCGCTAGCTCCTTCAGAACTCTGGGATGAATCCCATCATGACCCATGGACTTGTGAACATTCAGCTGATACAGCTGGTCCCTTACGATTTCAGTGTCCACAAATGGAAAGTCACTGTTCCCATACTCATGGTCCTCCATCTCGGGGTCTATCAGTATTACTAAAGACTGAGGCAAAAAATGTACTGAATGCCTCTGCTTTTTCTTCATCCCTATTAGTCAGATGACCGTCTTCAACACGTAATGGTCCAACGCTTTCCTCTGACTTCCTCTTGCTATTAACATACTTAAAAAAGCCCTTCTGAAACAACACTGGCCAGTTTCAACTCTAATTGAGCTTTGGCTTTTTGTGTCTTCTTCCTGCATAGATGAACCACAGCTCTGTACTCTTCCTGCGAAGCCTGACCTCGCTTCCAGACATCATACAGTTCCTTCTTCCTCTTGAGCTCTGTGAGGAGTTCCCTGTTCAGCCAACAGGGTCTTCTGCTCTGCTTGCTTGACTTAGGACACAGTGGAATTGCCACCTTCTGTGCTTCTAAAAGGTAGTTCTTAAAAGATTGACCAGCACTCATGGACTCCTAAGCCCTCAAAAGCAGACTCCCAGGGTACTCTGCTAAATAACTCCCTAAATAGCTTAAAGTTAGCTCTCCTGAAGTCCAGGGTAGCAACTCTGCTGTCCTTTTTTCTCATTACACTCAAACATTTCATGATCACTGTGGCCAAGGCAGCCAGCTACCATCACATCCCCCACGACTCCTCCTCTGTTCACAAATAGCAAGGAGGGCAGTAGGAGGGCATCTTTCCTAGTTGGCTCGCGGAGTACCTGTGACAATAAGTTATCTCCTACGAACTTCAAGAATTCACGAGACCTGCTCATTAACACCTGTGTTGCACTGAATTAGCCTGAAAATCAAGGACCTTAATTGCAGAGGGTAGATCCAACCTTTCATGGTGTATGCACACTCCTCCCAGCCTGTAACTCCTGGAAAAAAACCGACATACTCTACACACATGCTGATTTGGTTTTAATCTAGATTACATGGTATGTATGAATTTACAAAGCTCTCAGATAACAGCATCACACCTCACAAGAGCCATGCAGTTAAACTCACATGCTTCAAATTCCTTCAGTACTGGGCCCAGAAAGCACACTGAGAAACTGTACATCTTGGGAACCTCTCCCCCTTTTCTTTTGACCAGGTTACAGGAATGCTTTCCATGATAGCTGTCACACTGAAGAATATTGACAGTGTTAGGGCCAGAAAGTAAAAAAATAAAAATAATAATTTAAAAGAAACAAGCAGACAGAAAAGCAGACCTCTTTTACTGGATCCTGGACAAGTAGAACCAGATGAACTGGAATCAGGATGCAAACTACCATTTTTGGGGTAGGATTAATTTTTAGCTGTATTCCCAAACCAGCTTCTTGTACATCAGATAAACCCCAGGCTCAGCTGAAGGGAAGGGGTGGGAAAGCATGGCCGAGAAAAAGGAGGAAGGAGAGGACTACTAGAAGCCAGATTCATATTGGTTTAGACCACACTCAAATAGCTCTGCACTTGCAGAACTATTTTGTGCACATCTCTGCTGGTACAACCAACTGCCACTGCCAGTTTTACTCTTTTTTTTTCCTATAATGGCAGCAATAATAATTTTAAATCAGTGCAGTTAACGCATAGAAACAAAGAAAACTTCTTTTGAGACATTTTTGAACATTAATTAATCACCTCAACAGTGTTGCATTTCGGTAACAAACTCTAAACAATGTCAAACTATGTTTGACCTGTTCCTTGTGTCAAGAAACATAAAAAGCTGCAACCAGAAGTGCAGCATGCGGGAGGAATGCAGTTCCTCTGCTATTTAAGACAAAATAATCTACTTAAATATTCCTGTTCCTCACAAGCTTGAAAAGAGGGAAGGCAAGACCACAGCAAGCTAGGCTAGAAAGGCAACTGCCTTTGAAAAGCACTCAGGTTCAGTAGTTGTTAACATATAAGTACGACCTCCCTACTCTACTCTACTGAAAATCTAATTACTTGCTCAGCTGAAAGGACAGTTATTTTCTCTTTCATGATTCTACAGTAATATTTT